CCCAACAGTGTTTTCCTCTGCATGCAGCTCACTTTGGAGACCTGTGATGTACCAAAAAGGCTTTCCATGCTGGTGAAATGCATGAAAAGCATTCTCCCCCTGTGCTAGAGGTGTTGTGTCACACCTGGTGCATCCACAGGTGTCTCAGGGCTTCAGCAGAGGCTGAGGGACTCCCCCAGGTCTATGAGGGGATAAGAGAGCTGCAGGAATTTGCAGGGAGCAAAGGCAGACGTCTCCAGAGGGTTTCCTGGCCACTGTGGGAAGCTGACAGCCCTCAGCTCCTCCCAGGCAGGGTGGGTGGGGGGTTCAGGGGTGCTGCAAAGCCCCCCTGTGTCTCCCACCCAAGCAGCACCAAGGGCCAGAGGCAGGGCAGCAGGGCAGAAAACCCTGGATGTGGTTAGTGGGAGCAAAGGGTGCTTTCCCCTGCTGGGAGTGCCAAAGGAGAAACGGGGGTTTGGAAAGCAAACAAAGGAAGGGAAGGGAAATATCTTGGAGGGAAGGTAGAGAGCATGAGGAGTCTCTTGGGAGGCACAGGGGGTGTGTGCACACTCGTGAAGGGAGGATGCAGGAGCAGAGCAGCCCCTTTGATCTCCTGAACATCTGCTCCCTCCGCGGGCACCCACCCGCCTGTGGGGCAGGTGTGCCTGGGACAGGGGCTGCTCTCCCAAAGCTGCTGTTTCCCATGCTCCATGGCCCTGTCCCTCAGAGCACCCAGGCAGCATCAGCCCTGCTGGAAAGGCAGCTGCTCATGGCTCCAGCCCTGGCTCCTTGCTGTTCCCATGCCTGGGGAAGCCCTTTGGTGCCCCTCAAAGCTCCCTGAGCCACGTGGAGCTGTGGCCATGGCATGGAGGGGTGTCTGGGCTGCAGGCAGAGCAGCAGAGCAGGGCCCAGGCAAAGGAGAGCAGCTCCTGAGACTTTGATTTCAGTGAGGCCTGAGAATGGGTGAGCCCAGACCACATGGCATGGCCTCTGAGATGGGCATGGACACAGGATGGCAAGGAGGGTGTGTTTAGTGTTTTGGTGGTGGCAGGGGCAAAAATGCCAACAGGGCTGGGGTCAACACCCAGTGTACAAAGTGTACAACTGATCTGGTGTGAGTGTGACTGCACTGCACACAGACAGACCGGGGTTTGGCCTTGGTGTGAGTCAGGCAGGCAAAATACAGATGCAGAGAGAAGTGGGGTGGGCATTCAGGCACACAGACTATCAATTGGCATGGGAGCAGAGCATCATTCCTACAGACAGCTCTGCTTTGCCTTCTCCAGACTTTCTGGGGGACTCATGTGCCTCCCAGTCCAAGGAGTGACCTCACACAGCCTAAGGTTTTCAGTTTGAGGTGTGAAAAGTCATTTCCCTTCTCTCCTTCTCCCTGAGCTCAACAGATCCTCATCAAACAAGGAAATAAGCAGGACACTTCTCCATATCATGCTCTGCTGTGCCTGGAAGTGAGCACACAGCTGCTTCCTAGGGAAAAACTGCCCTGGTCGTCATGCAAGTGATGGGCATGGAAAGGAAGGTCTGGGTGTTACAGAGCCATGCTTGGTGTCACAAAGGGGACAGGGGAAACATTGCAACCCTCCCTGCTGACCCCAAAACCTAGGTGCTCTCCATAACTGACAGAGGAACTTCCCAAGGGAATCTGTGCATTTCCCTAGGGAAGCAGAGATCAGAGGCAGGGAGGCAGGGGCAGGCAGCCAAGGAAAGCAGAGCAGACTGGTATGCACAGGCTGCATTTCCTCAGGGGAGATTTGTTTCACATGCAGCTATGTGTTCAAAGGGGACACCAGGGTGCAGGGAGCACCAGGGATGCTCCAGGGATGAACTGCCCCCCTGGGAACTTGAGTGGAGAGGCAGGTGGCTGTGGGAGCCAGCCATTTCCCAGGGGGGAGTGCTAGTTTGCCGCTGATTTTCCTAACAAAACACAGTCCTATGGGACCTTCCAAAAACCCATGCAGCCTGGAAAAGCCAGGGATCAATAAGGGCTGGGGCTTGGGAGGTTGTAAATGTGCTGGCATCTCCCATTTTGCCCAAGCTCCTGCTGGAATTAGGTGCTGATGCAGCTGCCTGGTCTGCAGGGCTGGCTCTGGGCTCAAGCTCTGCAGGACATCTTTCCCTGCTCTGCTGATGCAGTAAATTGTAATCCAGTGTCCCTCTCTTGGGAAAGAAAATGAAAGAAAACTCTCCAATTTCTCCTGTGGCCCACACAGTGAAGTTTCCCTCTCAGGATCCCACATTGGGAAGTTTGAGTTTGCAGCTGAGCATCCCCCTCTGCTCCTCACCAAACCTGAGGGGCAAAGCTGTGTCCTTGTGCCCCCTGCCCCTGGTAAAGGCTCCCCCTTTCTGCTCAGCCCTCTCCCCAGGCCAGGCAGGCTTTGATGGATTGCAATCCTCCTCTGCCACGGTCAAAACAAAGGTCATGGCCCGAGGAAATTGCTAACAACTTTTGCCCACCGGCCCCGGAAGAGCGGCAGCGTTCGTGACAAGGGGCTGAACTTTTTATGATCCCTCCACCCTGGCAGCCTCTTTGGGAAAGGAATTTTAAAAAGTGGCCATGAGGCTTCCGGGAGCTGACAGAAGAGGAGGGGGCAGCCCTGAAACGCTGCCCCAGCCCCTGGCAAGCCCCAGCCCCTGCCCCTTCTCACCTCCTTCCTCTCCTCCAGAAAAACCTTTCTGTCTCTGCCTTGGGCATTGCCATTTGGGGTGTCTTGTTATGGTCCAGAACAAGTTTACTTTTATTTTAGCACTTGGGAGACCCCAATATTCATTTTGTGAGTGTATAAACATGCAGGCACCAACACAGACCCCAATATTCATTTTGTGAGTGTATAAACATGCAGGCACCAACACTGCACCCCAGACCAAACTCATGGCTGGATACAAAGAGTTCAGGTACATTCTCATCTCACCAGGCCTTTGCTTTGCCCTCCTGTGCCTCTGACTTCTCCACCAAGCAAAAACTGCAGCTTTGTGTGCTGGAGGAGGTACAGCAGATTCCCACCCTTTGAGAGATCCCTGTCTGCTTGGAGAAGTTGCATTTTACATCTCAATGTGGGAGGAAAAAAAATCAAAATTTTAACTTATGTGTACATTTGTTTTTCCTAATAACTCTAAGTGAACATTTCTGCTATTAGAAATAATTTGTTTTAGCCTAAAACTGAGTCTTCCTGAGCTATCCCAAAAGTCCCAATCTTGCCTTACTGTGAGGTAGTCTCCCATGCTGAAGTGTGATGACTAACAAGAAAATTCAAGATGGGAACTTTACCTGCAAGATTATTTAGTTTTTAGAGAATACACAAAACCAACTAATGCCCTCCCCCCCTCAGAAAACCCCACCAAACTCAAAGCCAGAAAACCCCAAAAAACCACTGATCATGCCAAAGACATTATGGTTCTTCCTTCACCATCAGGCATTTCCCAAATGCTGCACTTAGCTCCATTACAGCTGCATCATCCTCCAGCTGTGGCAAAGCCTGCCTGGAGTCAGAGCTTTCCCAGGGTCTGCCCCATCACGGGGGTGAGTGGCTGCCATTTATTTCCATACCCAAACTGGGCACTGAACTGGTCCCTGTTGAAACTGATTCATCAAATCCATCCCAAATCCAAGCCTACATGAACAAGTTGCTTTGAAATGGCTTTTTTTTGGGAAAAAAAAAGCTGTGTTTGGGAAGCATCCCTGTTCTCAGGGAAAAGGAGGCTAGAAAGAGAGAGTTTAAAGCCTCAGCCTCAGAGCTCAGGAAAGCTCCGTTTGTACAAGGGGGTGGGAGTAGCTCTGCCAGTCCACGGAATAAAGGAAAGAATCAATAATTGTGGCTAGCAGTAGAAAGAAAGGTAGAAAAAAATGAAGGGACACGTGGCTTGGTTTGACACTTTGTCAAGACCAGGACAAGGCATTTCCTACAGCACAGATAAGCTTTGTCTTTGCCTGGGCTGCAGGGCAGCTCTGAAAGGAGCAGCTCCATCCGCCCCTTCCCCAGGACTGGTTCCAATTAGTGCCGACCCCACTCTGTGCCGGCTCAGCCCCAGGATTAAAAATCTCCCTGTGCCAATCCCCTCTGATCCAAACACTTCCTGGGACTGATAGGAGCACAGAATTCCTCCCCTTCCTGAACTGGACAGCTTGCTCTTGTCTCCCCAAGCTCTGGCCCCTGTGGAAGGGAGAGGGGATATGTGACAGAGAGGAGCTCTTCATCCTCCCCAGGAGCAAGGAGCCAGGATCCTCAGAAGCCTTTGCAGGGCCTGGAGCTGCAGCTGGGCTGGGAAAAGCCCTGCTAGGATGTTTGAGTTCATCTGCCTGCCCTGGAGAGCAGGGGCAGCTCTGGCACCTGGCTGGTGGGTTTGGGGTCCAGGCCCAGCATGGGAAGTTGCCTGTGTGTGCTCCTCTGAGCTTCTTTGGCATGAAAAGATGCTAGCCCCTGGCTTGGCCAGCGAGTTTGGAGTCCTGCACCATGGAAAAATGTTTCCTGAGCATCTCTTTGCATTGGTAGCTCTGGTGCTGGAGCCAGGAGAGCGTGCTCAGCTCGGGAGCACCCCCAGCCCCGTGAGGATGCCACAGGAGGGGCAGATGGAGCATCCAGAGCAGCAGGCGACGCTGCAGGGCTGTTCTGGCAGGAGATGTGAGCGTCTGTCAGCAGCCCTGCAGGAAACACAGGGAGCTTGCACTGGATGGAGCTGAGGAGAAGGAAAAGGCTTGCAGCTTGCACCTGGGAGCCTCTGTGCCCCCATCCTTCTGCTGTTCATCCCCACATGCCTCCGTTTGCTGGCACCAGGTTTTAAGGAAAATTACCTGAATTTTGTCCTGAAGTAAAGCTGCAGAATCAGCAGAACTGAGCAGGTATTAATTCAGGGAGCAGCTGTGCAATGGCCAAGTGCACCTACAGCAGGCACCTCCCAGCGTGAACCAGCATGGCCAGTGCCTGCCTGTGATGCTGATACCTGGAGAGAAAGAGCTAAGCTGCCTTTGAACACCTCCCTGCTCAGCCCCTGCCCCATCCCACATGGGAGATTGAATAAACAGCAAACAGCAAGTGCCCTTTGGGGCCCAGTATTCATTTGGACCACCACACACAGGCTCCAAAGGCTTTCCATTCCTCTAACAGCCCCTGAGGGCATCAGTGACCTGCACAAAGAGGAGTCACAGAGGTTACATCAGCTCCTCCTCAGCAGTATCACCCCATGGGCTCCATTCAGGGCAGTCACCACTTTTACAGCAGAGAGGTTGCACCTGGGTGTGGGGGCACAGACCACCTGTGCCCCAAAAGCATGGTGTGTTTTGGGGTGAGAGGAGGCTTCCCTGCACATCTGGGCTGCAGGAAAACCCTCAGCCCACCAAGGACTTGGTGGGGAAAGCAGTGACAGCATCTCATTTGCACAGCTGGGCTGTTCAAGGGCAGCTGTGCTCCTGAATGGGAAATGATCCCGATTGGCTTTCCAGGTGCTCTCTTGTAAATGGATTTCAGGTGTACAACGGTGCCTGACCGCAGTCCAGGGCTTTGTCTCTCTGAAAAAAGGCCCTCTGTGTTATCCTCCCACCCCCATCCAGGAGACAAGAAAACACACATACAGCAAGGGTGGTTGCTATTTTAAGAATGTACTTTATACAAAATAACCAATTCATATGGAAATAAAATCTACAGACCTCCAAGGATCAAAATTTTAAAAAAGTTCTTTAAAAAAATTACCCAACACACAGTATTAAACTAACTATTGAGGTAACTGTCGCTCTTGGGGAACAAAGGTAATCAGCAGACCAAGACAAAATATACACAATATAAAAATAAATAGCATTCCCCTTTCCAGTATTGACCAGGAAAGTTCACACGACTTTGCAGCAGCAGGAGAGAGAAGAGGATCCCTGACACTGTGCTCTACGGGATGGGGAGGAAGGACAGGGCTCTGGGCAACAGGGGATGGAGAGGTGCAGCCCCTGAGGCCCTGCTGGGGACAGAAGGGCTGGGATGAGCAGCTCCAGCATGAACTCCTTCTCGAGCTGATCAACTGAGCCCATCCAGTCCAACCTTTCCTGAACAGCATGGGCAGCTGCTCAGCCCAGTTTCCAACGGAGCTGAGGACAGGCAAGCCCAGTCCTGGAGTGCTGCATCCCAGCACACCCAACAGAACACGCCAGTGCAGAGCCCCAGTGCAGAGGCCGGGTTTCCCCCACTGAGGGACGCAGGCAGAGCATTTTCACAGCTTGGTGTGGGAGGTCTCTGCAGCAGCCTCAGCTCACCCTCCTGTCACCCTGGCACAGCTTGCCCTTGACAAGGGCCAGGCTTTGCCCCCATGGCCACCAGACCCCTCCCTGCCCAACAACAAAAAGCACAGCAACATAAGAACAGCCTCACGCAAAAAGAGAAAGGCCCCCGTTTTCTCCTTGTGCCCCTGACAGACAGATTACATTCTTTACAAACTTACAATAATACAAAAACAACCCCAATGTTACCCAGCTTCAGAGAAATGAATGGATGTAGTGGCCTAGGCTCCCCCAGTCCCTCCCCAGCAATGCCAAGGGAAGCAGGGGGTCACTCTTCTCCCCCAGAGGCATTAAACCAGTGGTCCACCCACCCCTTTTCCATGTGCTCTGCCCTGTGGATGGATGAGGCTCAACTTTACCCAAATGCTCCCTTCCTCTCTGCCTTCCCAAACACAGAAGCAGCAACCAGCTCTCTTATGGCTACCAAAATCAACCCACCAGTCTCTGGGAAAGCAGGAACATGGCATGATAAGACGTGAGGCCACAAAGAGCACCTTGCTTCCCACTGAGACTGTGAAAGCCCCCCAGAGTGTTCCATAGCCATCTTAGTCCTAAAACAGAACAGGAAGGTCAAAGCTGCACTGCTGCATGTTATTATTGCTCAGAAAAAGATCAGGCAGCAGCATTCACTGATCCATCAAGGAGGAGAGACAGGAGTTTCCACAGCTGTACCAGTATATGCCCAGGCATTTTTAACCTAAACCCTCCTGGAGGTAGACATGGCAGCATCACGTGTGGGAGGAGCAAACCCCTGTAGTGGCAGATGGGCAGACTGCTGTGCCTGGGTGGCAAAGCCAGGGGCACAGAGAGAACACTCATGGGCCACTGAGGACACCCTGATTTCATGAGGAGGGTAAATGTGCCCTCCTCAGCTGCTGCCTGTGTGTGTGCAGGAGGCAGGGCCAGCCCTGTGCCCTTGTGCTGGTGTGGGCAGGGAGCTTTCATCTCTGCCCTCAACAGCCACAGACTGCAGGGCAGCCAGCAGAGGGAAAGAGGCTTGGGAGCTGGGAAACAAGGAGAGGGGAAGGGCTGGCATATGATACAGAAGGGAATCAGGATTTCCAGACTAGGAGTTGAGGCCTGGGCTCCTGGAGCTGCCTGGCTGGCTTTGGAAAGGGAGACTGCTCCCCTGGCGTGTGGCAGGGTTTGAGTGCACCAGGTGCCTGCAGGTCTCCTACTCATTTGGTGCCCAAAGGGGTCCCCAGTGGCTCTCTGGTCTGACCTTGTTCACAAGGGAATTGTGCTCACACAGAGTCAGTGCTGCTGTTAGTTAGAAGATATTCCACTTACTGCCCTTACGCTTAGTGAGTGTTTCCAAATAAAAAGGGCAAAGGACAGAGGGATTTGCTGGAGTTGGTGAAAATCCCAATTAAGCCTCAGTCCCAATTAATGCTTTGTCACCTCTTTCCCTGGTGGACATAGCTCTGTCCTGGATGCGCTGTTCACTTTGATATCCATGTATCAAAAAGAGGAAAACCTTTGCCAAAAGAAATCTAGGGCATGGCTGTAAATGAAGGAAAAAGCCCTCAGTCAAGGCAAGACCAGCAGGGTTAAATCTACAAAATGGTAGATTGGTAAATGGCTCCATGGTCTCTCAAATCCTGCATGTCAGCCAAGGTGAGACAGTGATGAAAAAGGGAAGGGCACAGAACAACTCACTTCAAAGGTACACTTGGATGTTCCCATCTAGTTTCAAATCCATTAAACCCTGTCCTGAATTTCCCTGCCTAGGGGTGGAATGAGCCTTGCCCTGCTTGTCCCTAGGAGCTCCTCTTGGGAGACAGCTGGAAATGTGTCCCTCCCCAGCTCTCTGTCTGAGTGGGAGGTGGGCAGTGAAAACCAGCAGGAGCAGTTCAGTATGTGCTGGTTAGAAGGGTTCTCCTTGGCAGTGTGCTCACCCCCACCACGTTAAACAGGTACAGATGGGCAGAGGCTGCAATGGCAACCTCTGAGATGTTCTCTCCCTCACAATAAGCACAGGCTCCTAAAGCTCACAGGGGCTGCAACCCTCCTTGCACAGCCTGTCTCGGTCCTGGCCCTCACACAACTGCTCTGCAAACGCCAGCACCCGCCTTAAAGCAAAACAGGAATTCTGCAAGAGCAAACTCCTCCGTTCCTCCTCTGATGCACCACAATAAAAACTTTTTAAGGGGTTGCTCTGATTAAGTACAAACCCAGTTGCATGGCTGCTCTGCAGCAAGGGGAACCAGGACCAACTACACCATCACAGATTGCACTGCTGGTCCTCTCCAAGCCATCCTTTGGGATGACACTTCCCTGTCACTCATTTCAGCACCTTCTCTGAAATTCCACAGAGCATACAGCAACACAGTCTTTGCAGAAAAGGAAAGCAGAATTTGCAACACACCACAACACAGAATGAAGCCACCAAGAACAAAGAAACCACCTTGGTTGAACAGAGAGATGAACAAAAACCTGACAGGGATCAGTGGAGAAAATAAAGAAAGGTTGTTTTCTAATTATACTTTCATTTTAAATGGAGAAGTGTTGGGGTGAGAACCTGCAGGGGAGCTGCCTCAGTCAGCAGAATGAAAGACAGTCTCTGTGACTTGCTTTCAGATAAGACATCATCAAGCTGATAGCTCTCCAAGACCCTGAGAAACCACACTTACAAAAATATACACAGGCGACTTGCTTCGGAAAGTCTGCATGGGAAAGGCATTTGGCAGACAAGAAAGAATCAGAAGCTTCCAAGAAAAGTGTCTCCTCAAAGTCACAAATCAAACTAGTTGGCCCTTGAAGCTTCAAATTTGCTTTTCGCTTTTGTCCTCCTCATTGCAGGCTGGTGCCTGAGTGGTTTGGTGGGTCACACCATGGAATTTATAGACTGAAAACTTATAAGTTTGCTAAAAGTCACAGTGGAGCCTCAGTGACTGCCCTTTCCAGTTGAATTGTCAGGGCCTGTATCACCTAAGATGCCCAAAGATTCAGAGTCTCAGGGGGATTTTATAAAACAGCCTTTGCAAAGGCAACTTGACATCCAGGGAGCTTGGGAACACCACACACCATTTAAAAAGGAGGAAGTGGTAGGGGGAGAGCAAGAGGCTAAAAAGGTAGAGTAGCACACAAAGATCATCTGAGAACATTGGAAATTTTTGTTGTGCTTGAGCATGGTCAAGTTCATAATTGTTCTATGTATTATATAATCTCATTTAACATGAAATCTGTAATTACAGCAAAACATATCCTCCAGATGGGAAAAGTAATAGCTATTACTTTTTTTGTAATTTTGCTAAGTCACTAGTTCAGGATGCTTTCTGAAAAAGGACCACCTGGTAATATACTGTACTCCAACAACGCTGGGGAATGCTCTGCAGCTTCTCTGTATTGTGTTCAGAATTTAGGATAGTGGCACAAGTATAGCACTCAAAAGCCATGTTATTTTAAAGTGCAGCTACACTTCTCCTGCACTGCAATCCAACCTGTGGCACAAAACACCACTCTGTACATAAACAGCTGAATGCTACTCTTCTAAACCCATCAAACCTATCTTCCACAATATCTACAAAGCAGCATGGTATGGAAATCATAAAATTCACATTATCTGTTCCTCCTTACATTTTCTCAGGTATTCCAGCCCAGCAATCCTCTCCCAGGGCTGTTCCCTCTGAGGGGAGTCAGTTTTCAGTGATTTGCTCAGATTGTACCTAGCGAGATTAGGCTCTGATTTTCAGGGGATCCCTAGGTATTGCAAGAGGAAAAGAAAAACCCCCAACCCTTATTTATGAACAAAGCATTTGAAAATCTGAAAACTCTGATCTAAGACTCCAGCAGCATGTCTCCACCTCAAAATGTCCTGTCCTCAGGAAAGCCCAGCCATAGCTCCTTGTATTCTTTACAAGTACTTTTCTAACAGAAACCATCTGTCCTCACAACAGCAGCTTGAGTGCTTCCCAATTCACCTGCAACTGCAAATGCCAAATCCAACAAATGGCTCACACTGCAGTAACCCTGCCATTCCCCCAAGGCAGCCTCTTGCTCTTCTCCTCCTCAGCAGAAGTGCTCAGGAAGCCTGTGGCACTTTATGCTCCACTGCTGCTAAGAAGTGAATTTAGCCCAGGGTCAGAGAAAGAGGTGGGGACTCTTCTTGGGCAGCAGGGCAGTACAGATTAGCACAAAATTGTTCTACTGGATAGGTGCTGCTCCACCTGCAACTACACTGGTTTCACCAAAATAAGTTTTAAGTTTTAACCAGTTATGCCTTTTTCTGTTTTCTAGAGCACATATTTCTTCTATCAGAAAGGCAGGGAGAAGGGTACTACACTAGCAGAAGGGACAATGCCATGGGTGTCCTGCCCTGGTTTCAATTCCTGGTCCTGGTTTCCTTGTTCCCCCATGATGACAGGAGCTGGAAGTGCACTCAAGCCCTGGATCCAGAGGGGTGGAGATGGGGGTGAGAGGGGAAGGAGGAAGAGGACAAGAGAAAGAGGAGGACATGTTATGCTCCTGAGCAATTCCTGCTATTAAGCCAACCAGCCATGGGGTCATGTCTTGGTTGCAGAGGACAGGAAGGAGGACAGCAAGTCATCCATCACACATTCCCTCACCTCTTCCCACTCCCCCCAAACCCTCACCCTATCCTGAAAGATTTCAGTGTGATATGATTGTAAACAGTTTACAATTCCTCCAGTGCTAAGCCCACTACAAGCTGGGCCCACCCCCTCCCCCATTATGTACAATACATTCACCAACAACAGAAATTTATTTAGAAAGGCAACAGGTTAAATTCTGTAAACTGGATCCAGCTCCAAAACACACACATTAATACTACAAGTAAAATTCCATCATCATCCTCTTCCACCCTGAAAAATATACCTGAGTTTAGCAGTCAATGAAAGTTTCCACCCCCACCCCGCCCTCCCCACCCAAAAAACCCCTCAAACCCTGAATGAGACACAGTCTCCTGTCACAGAAAGCCACTAGTTTGGGGTGCCCTGTGTGGTGATCCAGCTGCTCGGCTGGCTGGGCCCAGCACCTCTGTGGGTTTCCAGCCCAAAATCTGGCACGGCGCCGTCTCCGCAGACCCGGGAAGCTCCGTGGGTGAGGGGAGGGTGGGAGCAGGGCCTGCCCCTCCTCTCCCTTGTCCAAATCACGTGTGGCTTTCATCTTCATGAAGTCTGATCCTTTCTTGGACTAGCTCTGCAAGAGGAAGAACAAGAGTTGGAGCAGCTTTAGAAAGGAATAATCTCCTTTGCCTGCAACCAGTTCACAGCTAACACCAGTGATCTGCCCAAGTTCACAGCGCCCTCCAGTTCTTCCCACCCTCACCAAACACCTCAATCCTTTAACCATTGGGAGGACAAAGACTTGCATTTCAGCTCTGCTCTCTCTAGCAGCCCTTACTTGATCCAGAGGCAATGCTGATGGTTTTTGTGATGTCAAATCTTCCCGGGCCATGGTTGCTGTAGGCATCTTCGGGAAAGCAACTTGAGCCTGATGCATTTGCATTCTGCAGTCAGGTTGAATGGAGAGAGTTTTAGCACATGAATGTCAGGAGCAAATCCCCACTCTTGGTTAAAACTACTTCACTGAAGGCATACATACAACATTAGCATACAAGCATTTGTCTTGTATATTCTGTCTGGCTTCCCCCCAAAACACAGCCCTCAACCCATGCCATTCCCCCAGTGGCTTAGCTTTAAGCCAGGTTTCCTGAACACTAGAAGAAGGAAGGACTTGATGCTGTGAGGATGACAAAACAGTAACAGCTGAGGCACATTCATAAAAACTGAACAGGGAATTGTTGGAGTAGCAGTATTTTCCACTTGGAAATAAAAATGTGATATACAGTCTCAGTGAGAAGTGACTTTCTGTGATGGAAATTTGACAAAGAGAGAAGGGGCAAAGCAAGAGGACAAAAAGAGGGCAACATAAGGATGCTCATAACAAGAGGCAAACTTCCACTTTAGTCAGTGACTCTGCCTCACTACAAGCAAGATTAAATAAAACATTTGCAAAGAAAATGGCAAGAGCCCCTGTAATTAAGAGATACTCAACCCTTGATGATACATTAGCAAAACACTGTCAGGGGGAGCTCAGCACTGGTGTGGGGATGGATGAAGCAGGCTGACAGGTTCTCCATGACAGCTCCTTGCTTTAAGGAGGTGCAATGAGACTCTCTCTCCATCTTAGCCCCCTTACTCCAAGAATCCAAGAGCCACCTCTTAGCCTTTCAACTTGACTTGCCATCTCCTGTGACTTGAAGCCATATCCCTTCAAGGGTATCCATGACTGACGGTCACCCAGGCATCTCCCCCCTCCCTCCCACCTTGCCTTCTTGCAGAAAACACCATCTTACCCCGAGGGTCTATACAAGTCCTGGGGTGGCCCCCCCATGCCACCTGCACTGCCTCTCTGATCCATCAGCAAGGCCTGAAAGTGACCCACGTTCTCCTCTCGGCAGCGGTACAGGGGGCCCTCCTGAGAGAGGCCGTTGGCCTGGCCGGAGGCTGCATGGTGGGACAGGTGAGCATTCATGGGCGCTCCATAGGTCCTGGGCTGGAAGTGGCTGGCAGGATGCCGGGATCCATAAGGAGAGCCAGTCTGTAGCATCACCCCATGGGGAGGGAAAGCTGATGGGCCAAATCCCATCCCCGCAGCCAGGTGTGGCGGGGGGGCTCCGTACAGGAACTCCCCCGCTGCCACCGAGCTCTGCCTCTTAGTGGCTGCGTTGTGGTTGTCCAAATCGAGAAACTCTTTGGGACTCTCCGCTCTTTCCTGGGACTCCTCGGACTTCTCATCTTCAGGCCCCAGCTCCTGCCCGTCGCTCGGAGAAACCTCTTTGGCACCGGCTGCGTCCACGCGGTTGGGAGAGGCCATGGCGGCGCTCAGCGCCTCGCAGCCCTGCAGGCCCCGCTCCGGGAATGGGGCCCTGCCCAGGGATGGATGGGCACTGGGGTGCCCGCTGGGACTGGCCTGGGCGTGGAGAGGTCTCTGCCAGTCCGAGTAGCCCTGCGGGCAGCCGTAGTAGGGCGGTCGCTGGTAGTGGTGGTAGGAGGGCTGGGGCTGCGGCTGGTAGGGATACGGCATTCCCTGGGGCGGCCGGTACCGCGGGAAGACGCCGGGATGAGCGCCGCTGGGCTGGAAACCCCGTGGGGGGAAATGCTGGGGGTGGGAGGCAGGAGGAGGCGGCTTCCCCCCCATGACGGGGCTGAACCCCTGCAGGCCGGGGTTGATGTGGTACCGCCCCGCTGAATTCGGGTACTCCAGGCCGGACATGTAGAGAGGATGAAACTGGTTGGGGGTGGCCCCCATGGAGGTGGCGTCCGCGCCAGGGAGGCCGCTGCCCTGTCCCATGCAGGGCACGGCTGCTTCGGGCAGAGCCTTTCCCCCGCCACACAGGGGCTTCTCCAGCAGGTTGGCAGCCAGCCCCTTCCCCTCAGGGCCGGCTGCCGGCCCCTCGCCCGCCGCCCCGTTCTGAGGCAGGGCACCCCCTCTTTCGGAGGCGGGCCCCAGGTCCCTCACGCAGCCCGGGTCGCCGGCGTAGCCGCTCTCTGCTGACCACGCGCCTTTGCCCTGCCCTGCCTTCAGGTCGCCCTTCCCAGCGGTGCCATCCCCCTCCCCATCCGGGGGCACGGCGCGCCTCGTGCACTCCAGGGGCAGCGGGGGCTTGGGGTGAGGTAGTAGTTTGCCGTAGGCCCCGTCGGGAATGATGCACTGAGCCTTCTCGTCCATGCCTGCCAGCGAGTCCACTGAAAGAGAGGGAAGGAAGTCAAACACATGTCTAATCTTTGCAAATTTGGGTGATCTTTAAGAGCTGCTTCTTTTAAAAGTGCTCTTTTAAAAACTGCTCATGAGGTTGCATCTCTCTCTGAAAGATGGCACAGGTATACACTGCACTTTGTGAGCCACCGCTAAGTCATAGCCCCTCTGGAACAACGTGTTTGCTCTGACACAGAGGTGTGCAGAGGCTGCCTAAAGGAGAGGCAGATTTGGGGTCCACATAACAGCAACATAAAGTGTTGGTGTACTGGCAGCTTGATTTCAGGCTGCATTATCCTTTCCAGTCATAGAATTAAAAAATAGTTTGGGTTGGAAGGGACCTTAAAGATCGTGTAGTTCCAACCCCCCTGCCATGGAGAGAGAAACCTGCCACTAGACCAGATTGTTCAAAGTCCCCTCCACCCTGGTCTTGAGCACTTCCAGGGGTGGGGCATCCACAGCTCCTCTGGGCAATCTGTGTCAGTGCCTCACCACCCTCACAGAACAGAATTTCTTCTTAACATCAAATTTAAGCTCACCCTCCGCAAACCCTGTTTGCATCCAGTTGGGCAGAAGCACCACCACGCCCCGAGATACTGCAGAGATGATCACAGCCATATTTTAACCAGCTGTGGTTTGGAGATGAGGCTGCTCTGTCCTGCAATCACTCAACATTCTCCCCTGTCTCTGTTCTATATCCAGCAAGCTAAATTATGATGATAACTTTTAAGCAATGCCACACAAGGAAAGAGTTTCCTCTTTAGTGCAAGGCACACAGGGGATTGATAAAAGATACAAGGGTTTTGATCTCTAGTTTACCAGCTAGAATTAATGAAAAAAAAAATTTTTTTGATCTCTGAATTTTTTTGATCTCTACATTAGGTTTTATTTTTAAGGTTCTTTCCTTTTTATTATCTGTGGTTTACTGGATAGAACAAATGAAATTCAACCAGAAAGAAACTGGTAAGGGCATGCATGACATGTTGCCATCCCACCTGAACTGATACAGCTGCTCAGGGGCTTTTGGGCAGCCCTAGCATGTGAGGATTTTAAGATGTTGAGAGCTCATAAGGCAGATGTGCATTTCAGAGGGAAAGCTATACTTACACACACTCAAAGGAGTACATTTAAGGCATTTATTCACATAACATCTCCTCTCCTTACCTAACTCTCTGCAGATCAAATTTTTATATTAACTCCAGGTGAGCACTAGAAGCATTACAGCCTAATGCTTTGCATTTGCACCTCGTGGCACACTGATAACTTTCAGGTAAAGCTGGGACAGAAGGGACCTCTGGCAGGCTACAGTGAAACACAACAGTCCTAGAAAAATCTAAGCAATGCCCTGAGTAGAAAATGTACTCCAACTTAGATTAAAAGAAAAAACACAAAACTATGTGTAAAAACTCAAAATATTTAACCAAGATTTGAATTATTTTCTGAGCGGTGAAGGTGACACATGCAGGCAGGGAAGTGCTACCAGTGGGCACTGAGGGCGTTACCTTGGTTGCTGTCCATGTCCATGGTGTGGCCGGTTGGATCCTGTGAGCCCCCGTTGCCCATGGCTTTGGGGGGCTGGCTGCTGGCAGAGGCAGCGTGGGCCAGCTGCG